AAAAAAAAAAAAAAGTATCTGGTCTCAACCATAGACCAGGGGGGTCCGGCGTTTTGGGAACGCCGGACCCCCAGGAGCAAAAAATTTCGACCGGATTTTGGCAAAAAAAGTCAGTTTTGATTTCGTTCAAAAAATATAATATGTCCGTTTTGACGAAATGGCTGTTCTTTTTCCTTTCACGCTTGCTAACGCGATCCGATCAGAAAGTGCATAACCAAGGGGGAAGAACAACAGTAATCCGGGCACTCCTGACAGAAAAAGTCAGGGAGAGGCAGAAGCTCTACATCAAACATGCGAGCAACTGGGTCTTCTACGATGACGCGGCGTATAAAACAACCAATGATAAAATTTTGTGGATCAGGAAACAACTAGCGTTCCTTGATGGTGGATGGGAAAGTGCACAGGACGCTTTTCTGATCCAGCCCGTCTCAACAACCATTTTCACGATTCTTAGCATGCATGAGGAGAACAAAAAACAGATGGACAGATGGCGCTCCATCCGCTGTGACAGATCTGAAGTAAGAATCTACCCCTGGTCCCCCCCGAGAAAACAGAAACCAGAAGAAAAAAGGGACCAAATGATGGTCGACCACTTTTGGGTAGAATTTAGACACATCCCCATAGAAGTGCAGGCGGCCTTCGTACAGGAGTTCGGAGAGAAACATGATATAGTTGACTTCATCGATCCTCTGCCACCGCATGTGGCTAAACGCGATGACTCTGTCATGCTCGCACTGCAACTGCCCGAAGGCCAGCCTTTCTCAATCGACGACGTCATCCCCTATCGAATCGGGGATAAGGAAATTCGGGTACATACGGCTCACAAGTTCAAACCATGGTGTTTCAAATGCCAAGTCTACGGCCACCTATACTCAGACACAGCATGCCCCTCGCACCCGGCAAATCAGTCCAAAATCACTGGGCAATTAATAAGGGACCCTTTCTGTACTTCTCACTGGCGTACGGTAGACCCAGGATACAAGGTCATTAATGACAAGGAGGGGGAGGGAGGGGGATGGGTGTGGGAAGGCAAGGGTGAACCTGACCCGAGATCCAAGCCCCCAGAGACATGGACCCCTCCAAAAACAACTGAGGTGCATGCAAAAAATAAAGGGCAAAATGGGCAAAACTGGGAAGCAGGGAAAGGAGCACTGGAGAAGGGGGCAGGGACATCAACGGGCGGTATAAGTAAGGAGCCAAGTGAAAAAGGGAAAGGAAG